TTATTGGACATTTTAGAAAGCTTGTAATGTGCTCTACAACCTCTCTTTGAATCACTTTTGCAAAATCCAATTGGAACTATGTGAAACTTGGCCCAGAAGTTAGGTCAAAATCCTGACCAAAATGCTCAAAATTTCACTAAGTGTTTTAGCTTCATGACCATGATTTCATGGATTAATAACTTGAAATCCATTCATTTCTAGGAGGAGTTGTGTTCATAAATGTTTTAGCTCTCATTGACATCTACGAATTTCATGTTGAAAGTTTCCTTTGAATCATCTTGCATCATGGTGAAAAATTGGCTTAAAGTTGTGAAAAAATATATGAAGTTTTCAACACTTAGAAAAATTTCTAAGTTTGGAAACTTTGACTTTTCAAAATGAGATCTTGAATTTTTTATTTCTTGATGAACAAGTTTCATATTTGACATGTTTTGATGAATTGTGATCTTTGACACTTGATTTTGACTAAAAAGTCAAAGTTTGACTTTTTAGTGTGCAGTTGACTTTTGATCAGTTGACTAAAAATCAACTATCAATCAATTGACCTTGAGCAATGTTTTGAGTCACGCAATTAGGTCAAAATGATGCATTTGAATCCTTGAGATCATGTTTCCAAACAATCAACCATTTGCTAGGTCAAAAATCAGAAATTACCTTTTCTCAATCAAAACCCTAATTCTGACCATTTTGCCCTCTTGATGATCTGATCAAATTTCTTGAAGAATTATGGTCCAAACTTGATCAAATGACATATATGAGTTCATAATCTTGACATGGATAAAAAATTATGAAGTTTGACTGTAAATTGACCACTATTGACTTTTTCTCTAATACAGCTGATTTTTAGGTCAACTGATCAATTGACTGAGCAAAAATGTGATCCAAGACTTAAATCTTGACATGAGAAATCTTGAGGGTCCATAATGATCCATGAAAGTCATATGAGGCATTAAAAGTTCAATTATCCTTGTGAAATCTCAAACCCTAATTTTCAGTCATCAGAGATTGAGGAGATGTCTTGAGCTGACCAACCCTAGTGCAGTCTTGAACCAAAGAAGATCTTGTGAGAAATTACTTGATAAATGAGAGGGAAAATTTTGGGGTACAACAGTTGTAATGCATAACATTGGTGGTATACATCACATATTAGTAATGTGTTTTAGTATAAATCAATTGTGCATTGTTTTCTCTGTTTTGGTATAATGTATTTTGGTTTAAACCACAAATAGTTTTGGTTTTATGTGTCAACAGATGTAAGTAAAATAATTAGTCTCAACTGATAAAAAGTGTTATAAACTAAACAATTAGTGTCAACTAGTATAATGTGTTATAAACCAAACAATTAGTGTCAACTGGTATAACTTGTTATTCAACTGAATTTGTAAACCATTCAAACTAATATAAACCATTCAATTTGTAAAAATTAACTAATACACTTATGCCATTCAAACTGATAACCACTGATACAAATATTAATTGATTCAAATGTTACAAGTTAATACATACAGATGCAACGTAACACAAAATGATTAACTGCAAATAATTACATGTTCTTAGAAAATCCTAAATACCAACACATAGAAAACAATACAAAACACAATCTTCCAATATTTTCCCAGCTCACCATCTTCTTCATTTGAATTTGAAGTTTCCTTAGCTCTTGCTTCTGTTCCTCATTTGTAACCCTAAGAATTTCGACCTCCATTTTTGTTGCATTAACTTATTTTTCTAACTTCTCCAACCTACATTTTTGCTTCATCATGAACTGGTCCTTCTCATTTACCACTTCCTCATAGAACCAATAAAAAAATCCACACCGAACTTATATACAGTCCTATGTAAATTAAGAAAATGGTTTATATCAGCTGACACTGCAAAAAACTGAACATTCAAAATCTTTCTTACCTTAAAATATTGACAACCCCACAATTATTTTCCAAAACATGTAACAGTTGATGCCCTATGAAGAACAACCATGTCTCCACAATAAAAAATAGGTTTCCATCGCATATTTGAGCTTGCGTGTACATTGGAATCAAATTTTCCAGTGCTCTCCTGTTTAGATAAGTTTGAACAAATCCCAGAATTCATGGTTGACAGAACCTTCAATTTCAACAAGCAATTTCATATGAGAATTACCCAGATGTGAATCCTTAATTCGATTTGAGGTGAAAACAAACTAGAAGGGGGCGAAGCTCGGGGTAGAAACGTAGAAGATGAGTGTTAATTGTGAACTCAGCTGCCACACGTACATAAATAAACATCGTCTGAGCAAAATAGATGGGAAAGACTTCTCAAGCACTGATTGAAGAGTTAAAGGATCAAATTGGTCTCTTTTAAAATTGAGGATTAAAATGGACCCAGAGGTAAAGTTAAAGGATCAAAAAATATTGGGTTAAATATATTTTTGATCCTTATAAATATCTCAAATTTCATTTTTAATTCCTATTAAAAATGACAAATTTTGGTCCCTAAAAAATTTTTGTTCATTCAAATTTAGCCCCTGTTATGTTCTAAAATTTTAAAAACTGTTTAATTACACTTGAACTTTTAGATTTTTTAATAGTGTTTTTCATATGTGTTTAGAATACTATAAAATATTTCTTTATCAAATTTTAGAATTTTTTAAAATGAGAAGAATTAAATATGATTTTTTTTTAAATTTAAAAAGATATTGATAAAAATAATGAAAATTTCGACTTAGAAATCAAATTTTTAATTTCTTTTTTTCCAAAGAACTTTTTATAACGTTCTAAACATGTCTACAAAATAATCATTCAAAGATACACATTGGTTTAACAACATGGACTAAAACTATGTGCATAATAATTTTGTAGGGACTAAAACATGTCATTATTTTAATAAGGACTAAAAATGAAATTTGAGATATTTATAGGGACCAAAAACATATTTAACCCAAAAATATATTTTGACTTAATTTTTCCACATTTTTGGAGGGCTATTATCCCAACCTATATGTAATTTCTCGATTTCTAATTAAAGTTGTTTCCTCCATATTACTAATGGCGCTGTTATAAGCGCTAGGAGTCGTTGTTTCACCCTTAATTTATTTTTCTTTATATGATAATAATATTCCCCTTTAAAAGGGAGATATTATTATTTGCTTAATAGTTTTTTATAATCGTGATATCCTCTACCAATTTTGTAACTAAATTAACTGCATTGACTACACTAATGCCAGTGGTTCCAAGATATCCATCCTAAACCCTAGTCTGTGGTGATTATAAAGGTTTGCACAAACAATTTCTAGTATGATGGGTACATCTACAACAAGAAGAGCATATAATGTGCATTTCTTCTTAAACAACATTATACCAGTAACTATTCAACCAAACCTTCTCTGCCACAGTTTCGTTAAAATCAATTTCAACACATATGCGGGCAAAATTTTTCCGTCCATCGTTCAAGGTTGCAACATCCACTTTAATGAGCTTTCCTACTACAAAGGCCATATCAAGAAGAAAAGTTTCATCATAATAAACGAGATTTAGACTAGGAAAAAGAATCCAAACAATGATTTTTTTTATCATTGCTTCAGGTAGTATAAACTCTAAACTACAATGGAACATCGTCAAGTAATGATCTAAGATCATCTAGAGACCATATGATACTGTACACTCTTTATAAGTTGCACTGCCAAATTTCACCGCAAAGAAGCCATTATCTTTGCCACACATATCAAATCCTCCTACACGTTTTCAAAGGTTTTAGAGTCTATCTCTCATGATTTTGTATCCTAAATTTTTTTCCAAGAGCTTCCCCACTAACACATCCTTCCACATTGATCCTATTTCTTGAACAACATTCACATCAAAATACACCTTACAGAATAATCACTTTTCTTCGTCTTGTTCAAAGCGAACAATATTTTGAACAATTTTTATTCATCTTGTTCAAAGCGAACACTATTTTGAACAATAAAATCAACCTCTTTCCCTTATTATAGATACATCTTAACTTCCACCAATTAATTTATTTAAAAAAGAAAACACATTGATCTTTTGTTTGATTAGAACCTTCATATTTTCCAGGTAATTTAATTAAGTCTTAAATAGTCTTTTGGTCCCTGTTAGTTAGCGTGCTTTTGATTTTCGTCCCTCTATTTTTTTTCTTAGATAAAGTCCTTAAATATTAAATTTCATTTGATTTTAGTCCCTAAAACGAAAATCTGAAGGTTTCCTGCGGATCTACCTTCAAATTTTCTACGGATTTTAATTTTAAGGACTAACATAAAAAAGATTTTAACATTCCGAGATTATTTAAAAAAAAAAATACAGAGACCAAAATAAAAAACACATCAATTTACATAAACCAAAAGAGTATTTAAGACTCTAATTAAATTTTGATTAAGTCCACTTATGAATAAGAAAAATCATATTCTAGACATTTGATATCAATTAATGTAAAATTCTCTTCAATCAATTACTTAAAATTGTTTATTCATATAAATGTGGTCTTTAACAAATTATCATGCATAGCCCAAAATTTATTAATGACTATTTAAAAAATTTAAGACTATCCTTCCTAATTGAATTAACGTTGATTTGTATTAAAAAGAGGGAAAATAATTGTGAAAATTAAATTAATCACACACGCTTTTCCCCTCTCTCATCAATCATCATTCACCTCACTTGGAAGGAAAGTGGCGAAACGGTGCGTTTGAATTGTTTTAGAAAAAAGAGACAATACCGTTTGAGTTGGAATGCAGCGATTGGTGAAATAGAGCGGTAGTGAGAGAACGATTCAGGGTTTTCAGTATTTGAGAACTTCGACGCTCACTCTCATTTCTCTCTCTCTCTCTCTCTCACTTTCTGAGTTCATCATTCCAAATCATCATAATTTCTCAATTTGTTAGTTACTTTCTTTCCCAATCAGTAATTTTTTTTTTAAAATTAAAATTAGTGATATATGAATGAATCATAATTTATGAATTTTGGTTGCATGTGTGTGTTGTTCAGGAAGAAGAAGAAGTTGTTGCGATGAAGAGACCATTTCCATCGGAGGAAAATCAAATTGATGCAATGGACTTTTCTTCCCCTAATTCCGTTCAACCATTTCACGTTCATCTCCCCAATCTCCTCACGGACATCAACTCCTCGGGTATTATTGCTAACATCCTAATTAATGCATAACTTACTTTTGAATTCAATTTCAATCAAGTTAAATGTTTGATATATAGTAATAACTAGTCATTATTTTTTTGATGTTTTGCTTTCAATTTATACTCATTTTGTTTGATTTTTTATTTTATTGTTAGTGTTATTATTTATAATCAATGTTTTAAATGTAGATCTGTTACAGCCTGATACTGTTTTTCTCCTTTAGGATATAGTTAAAAAAAATTACACAGAAATGCCGTGTAGGGACTTGATATAATGTTGCTTGCAAAATTAGATAAAGGAATCTCAATTTTAGCACATTCTATAATATTACAAATAGTTTTAAGATTTGTGTACTGGTGTCGTTAATTCACACTGCAATCTCGAAATCTTTGACGCGACCCGTATTTAAAAGCATTTATGTTGAACCAATCTGTCAAAAAAATGCATTACAAGAAAAACACTAAGATGGGCTTAAATGTGAGGAATGAGTCTGGATGTGTAAAATGTACCCCGAAGATTATGATAACTACATGTATGAAGTTATATGTAGGTATGGGATAATTGAATTGACAGGGTAGGTAGTTAGCACGGATTCTATTTTAAAAGAACAGATATTTCAATTTCAACAGAAAAATCTTGCCTAACTACATTAAGAAGATTCACAACAGCTGTGTTGCCTCGGGCTGTGGAGGAAATTCGCCAATCTACCTATTCACAACATTTAGAGTAAATCACTAAATATAGAAAAGTGCAGATATTGTGCTATAACGCCGCAACAGTGCATAGCGCCGCGGCTATTTCACACAATATTTATACTAAATAGCGTATAGCAATTTGTTCTAATTCCGATATGCAATAGCACTATATTGCCGCTATAGCCGCAATTTAACAACATTGCTTCATCGTTGTTTTCTACCCCAATAGTTGGAACGGTGGAAGGTAAAGTTTAACACATTCCCCCCATCACTTTTGGAGGCACCAAAGATATATCCCACCATGTAGCATTTATATTCTTCTCTATTTTCCCTTTTTCTATTTCTTACATGCTAAATAAGCATAGTGGGATAAGGCTTTTTGTTGTTGTTGTACAGTTCTCTTTCTCTTTTATGGTAAGTTGTTATATTTTCCCCCTGGTCAGACCAGAGTAGTCAAAAATCTAAATCGTTGGTTTAGCACCTTACTGAAAACTATCAATCCTAGAAAGCACAGCCACCAAACCTGCTGAGTCCTTTCTTTGATGCTGAAGGGTAAATGCTAAATGGTCAGAGTTAAACTATAAATGTGATAAATTGTCATATTTGAACAAATCGAGCATCGTTAGCACCGCTGATTCCCATTTCTCCGCCTTGACCTCCATTCTCAATGTCGGTGATGTAATTTGTGGTTCATATGTATAGGATATCACAATCTTCTTCACTGTCACAGATCCACTCCAACAAAAAATAAGAAAGAGATAGGCTGTGTTGATTTTTCGGATGAAGATTCGGATCTGAGTAACCCGATGATATTGATTCTGTTGTTTGTTTTGGCGACTAGTGGTGATGGTGATTACTTTGATGAAGGTCAATGATGAATGATGACGATCATCAAATTGCATGGACCGGGTTCTTAGATTTTGAGTGGTAATGCATCATCGTCAAATGATAACAATGAATTATGCACTTCATTTTAGCGATAGTGGAATGACACCAAACAAAAATAGGGAATTTTTCACTTCAGTGTATAGAAAAAATAAACCAGATCTAAACTGATTGGGAACTGTTTTGTCAAAATAAACCAGTTTAACTCAAATGTTTTTAAAAAACTAAACTTTATATTTGGTTTATTCATTTAGGTTTGGTTATGAAGTATGAACACCCCTGATTGTATGTGGCTAATTTTCTTTATGATGCTTTAATGTTGTTTCCATGTCAATAACATTTTGTATCACCATGTTCAATATATTTACTTTGTGGATTGCTTCTAGTCAATTGAAGTTGGAAAACATTGTCATATTCTGAATTAATTGATCGTCATTCATTTTGGTTACCATTTCTATAAAACTTGAATTAGTTGTTACTTCTCAATACTGGCCTTATCCTTGATCTACTCTCTTTGGTTTCTAGATAGCATGTGTGTGGCTTTCTTAGTTTATTTTTCAATCTTAGTCTAATTGAAGTTTTGTTTTTATAAACTCACTCATTTAAGAACTCATGCTTATACAGAGGAGGCACTCACCAAAAGGGCAGCAATGTATCAGGAATACATGAAGCAGATCCCAATCCCGAGGAATCGAGGCTCTGTCATTCCGTTTACTTCATGGATGGGATTAGGCAAATCCATTAAGCAGCTATATGGGCAGCCTCTACATTACCTCACAAATGTCGCCCTTAAGCAATGGGACCAATTGAGAATTGGCAGCGAGGATGAATGGAAGCCGTTGGACGATATAGTTCATCCATGCAAAGGAGAAGCCTCCATCTGGCTGATGGAAGAAATCCATCGGCAAACCTCGTCACATTATCATATTGCTAATCTCTGGAAGAAGGACCCAATGTACAGTGGGTTTGTTGATTCCATTTTCCCTAAATTAGAGCACACATCTTGAATCCTTGATATGAGTATTTTCCATTTTAATACACAGCTGCAACAAAGTGTTTGTCTCATGGAAGGGGATTAACTACTTTGGTGTTTTGTAACTTTGGTAACTAATGTTAAGAATATAATGCAATTATTTAATGTAGTCTTAATAATGTATTAAGAATATGATGCAATTGTTTAATGTAGCCATACAAAAGAAATTCATACTGCATATCCTCAATTTTAAAAACAAACGGTTTTTTAGGACTTTATTCCTTTCCTTTTTGTAATTTATCCAGGAGTAGATCACCAAATTATTTTGCTCTTAACTAGGTCTTTAATATAATGAGTATTTTCAAAATCAATGGTTTTATTTAATTTGTAAAGTTGGGTAATTTAACAAATTCAAGATAGGATGAGTCACTTGTTATTATTGTGTTATGATGTAACTGCTATGTATCCTAAATTAGCAAAACATATTTTCGCATCTATTTATATAAAATAACTATTCTAATTGATATCATAATCCCTAAAGTTTCATCCCTAAACCTCTTAACTGCTTTGGTAAAATCAAAGTATTCCATCCCACCATATGTGCACTTCGTTTATCATCCATTGCATTAAACTATATTTACTAACATTTTCAATAATTTAAGCATATTAGTTTTTGTATGTCAAATAAAGTTAGAGCATCTAAAATGTCATTTAAATATATCAAATCATTTATTCAAAGATATCAATATAAAATACATTTTCAGTGATCTATAACCGTTTTTAAAATTTTCGTAGTCCAAAAAAAAAAAGCCCAACAATAAACTAAAAGTCGAAGTTCGATTTATTGTGACTCGAGAGACTTAGATTAGGTCTTGCAAAGTCTAACTCGACGTAACACTGAACAATTCTACATTAATACAAACTCTGGCTTAATGGTCCATTAATTAACTTGATTTGGTGTTAATTATTCTTTCGCTGCAGGAGAGAGAGAGAGAGAGTGAGAGAGAGAGGAGATCCTGTTCAACTAGGTTTCACATTTCACATCATTTGGTTTTTCTTCTCCGAGCTTCAACTTTTTTTCAAGGTTCTATTCATTCTCTTTCTTTTTCAACTCCCTGTTTTTTCTCAGGTTTCATTTTCGTCAATGCTTTTAATCGATTTATTTCATTTCACCTTGAAATTAATACTGAAATCTGCATTCCATCAATGGCACCATCCAGTAAGCTGTATTTCACAATTGACTTGATTGCATTGTAATTGTTGTGCTGATTAGTTACTAACTAGAATTCGGGATATTTCATTTTGATTTTGTCATCTTAAAATTGTGCATTACTGGAATGATTTTGTTATCTGCAACTTCAAACATTAAGGTTTTGTTTGAGAGTCAGAGGAGGGAGAGCTTCGAGGGGAATGGGAAGGAGAAGGGAGGGTAACCTCTCTCAGACTATGTGATCATAGCAAATAGCATAGAATAGAGGCCGGCCCCCAAAACGCAATAGCTGATAGCAGACCGCTAGGTCGAGGTCTAGGAAAACAATTCTATGGTTTTATATCACATGCATTACAAATTAGAAGAATGTGCAAAATTAAACTCATATTGATAACTAATCATCAAAATTCATTGCTACTAATAATTCAAGCCTAATATATTAATGATTAGTTATGAATATACCATACCGCTTAGTGTTTTGGGGGGTCAGCTGCAATGCTATATTATCTGCTATTGACTACATAGGTTTCATCCGCCGCAATAGACATTTCCTTGTAACTGACTCATAACTGATTGTAACTAACTCATAACTTGTTGTAACTAACTAACTAATAGTTTGTTACTCATAGCTCTACCCAGAACCATCAATATATACTGTTACCTATGGTAGTATTCAGAAAAACCAGTAGAAAAGAAATTCAGAAAATAGATTTCAGAGTCTTTATAAACACATTGCATATATTCTATTAAGGATAATCATTACAATATCTATATTTTGCTAATCTCTGGCATGTTATTGATATCTTCAATCTTTGATCCTTAATTCTGAACCAAACATGTGTATCGTGCTGTACACCCAGAGAAATTAAGGCCAAGAAACTTGAACGTGTATATGTTGGCATATGTTAGACTCTTCAGTTACTGTAACTGTTATTAAATAATTAGGAGAGTTAGTGGATCATTATTATAATTATTATATTATTAATTCAGAGTGTTTAGGTTTAGAATAAACAGGGGCAGACATTGGGGAGTTGATCAAGGAATTAGTGACTGGTTATTGGGAGAGACCCAACTCTCGCACATTTGAGAAGGGAGAGATCCAAGACTCTCAAGTTCTTGGAAGGAACCAAATTGGTGTTGAAAATCCACTACAACCTACGATGGATTTCTATCAATCTTGATGAACAAGATTGTTAGTTTCTCTCTGCCCACAAACTGTGGAAAACTTTATTATTCACTTGCAACTGCAAATTCTGTGAATACAACTTAATTGATTGACTTGATTACAAAAAATAGGAGTTACTCCCTCTATTTATAATTGAGTAATTTTCCAAAATACCTATTTTGGAACTAAATCAAATCTATCTATTTTAGATCTAAATCAAATTTAAATCTAAAACTAAATTAAATTTGTGTGTAGCCTGCTTCGATCCACAAGCTCTTCGACTGGATAATGGTTTCCGTCGAGCAACCTACTTCGACAACTACTCTCTTTCGACACACAGGAATTACAATTTAACAATTGGTCCCCGTCATTCTGTTTTTGTGTTATATCTCTGAATTGAAATTCTGTAGTTTTATTTTGTAAAGAACCGGTTTCTATCCGTATACCTCTCCATTGTTTGTGATTTTTCATTTTTGTACATCTCTCTAGGGCCCAGTGTGCGATATTATGAAGCTGCTGAAAAGTTTCCATGATTATCATGATATTGATACGCGGCATTGTGTGAGCATTAGCCATCACTCCTTTTTTCTGTGCAACATTTCATTCAAGATTGATATGGCTAATGTGTAAAATGAATTCGGATTATTTTACTAAGAAATTATTGAGCATTTAAATATCATGATGGGAGCAACTTTAGGCAATTTATTACTTATATGCAGGCATGCATTTAATATTCATCTGTTTTATTGTATCACTTTTGCTTGTTTCGTGCATTTTATTGTTTTTTGTGTGCACAGCCATGAATAAAGAGATTTTGAAAAAACGTTCCGGAGAGGCGCGTTTAAAAAGAAAATTGATTTTAAATCAAAGTCGTCCTAGCAAAATCAGAAGCTTTACTGAAAATGAAAATCTGCATCATCATGCCAATGATGGTATTGTTAAACCTTACTATTAATTTGAGTTACAGTTTATAAGCACTTTAGTTCTTCCACTTAGTTATATTTCTCACTATTTTCTCACTTTTAATTAGAGACAAGTAGACACTCGATGACAACGCCCGTGTCATATTATTCTAGGGAGCAAGAAACTTCATTTATCAATTGTAACACATCTGCTACAATGTTTGGACGATCTTTGAAATCGGGTAGACATACTATTGGAGAAAACCATCATGTCGGGGAACCAGAAATTCGTTCTACCCCTCCTCATCTTGAGGAAGTTGAAGGTAAAAAGATTGGTTACATAATGATCATTTACTTATTAAGTTACCAGTGAAGGCGTGGATTCCTCCGACAGTGAGTAAGGGTTTGCAGTGTGGATATTGATTCAATATGAGTTAATCTTAATTATGCATGTTTGTGTTGAGCAGGAAGAGGAGCGTGTTCTTCGACTGCAAAGATGTCATTTCCATCAGTACGGTACCGAGTGATGACTTTCTCAGAACTCCTATTCCCAATCTTCCAACAATTCACAGTCCAATCTCAATACCCTCAATAGCTATCAACTCCCCAGGTATTCCTATTTGCATCTGCTTTTTGAAAGTCACTTCACAGTTTTCTGCACTGATATGAGTCTATAGTTCTGTTTTACGGCATATTGTTACATTTTTCTACTGTCAGACCAATTACTTCTAAGAGTCATGCAAACTCATGCTTATATGCAGATGTAATCATCAGACGGGCAGCAATGTATCAGGATTACATGCAGCAGATCCCAATCCCGAGTAATCGAGGCTCTGTCATCCCATTTACCTCATGGATTGGATTAGGTTCATCCATTAAGAAGCTATATGGACAGCCTCTTCACTACCTTACAAATACTATGCTTAAGCAATGGGACCAAATGAGAATTGGAAGCAATGATGAGTATATGCGCTTAGACGAGATAATTCATCCATGCAAAGCTGAAGCCGCCGTCTGGCTCATGGAGCAAGTCCATCGCCTAGTCTCATCGCATATTCATCTTGCTAATCTCTGGAAGAAGGATCCGATGCACAATGGTAATGTTGATTCCATTTTCCCAACTTTACAGCACACATCATGAAGCCTCATTATTTTCTGTTTTAGACTATTTTCCTTTTAGATACGTGGCTGCATTTTACTGTTTGTCCCTCAGGACACTACTGTTAATAATATTCCAGCCTTTAGTTACAATCCTGGATTGAAAATTTTGTAGGACCTATCTCAAATACAGGATGTTGTGCATTTTGTTGAACAAAATATATATACTGAACATGATTTAAACAGGCAGGTTTTTAGTTGTTTCCTTTATTTTCTGAGATTACTGTCTCCCGACTCCCGTGCATTATTAATCAATGTATTGTTTGACTTTCCCTTTGAAGAGACATATAAAAAAAAATTAACATGGGCCGATCAGTGCATTTTTAACTTAAATTACCAATAGTGAAGTTTATTTTTAAAGCAGAAGTCAAAAGTTCATCTTTGTAGTTATATTAGCACCGATCTCTACAAGAACAGAATCCTTCCTTGAAAAAAAGATAACTGTTATTATCCCTAACAGCTATTTCCCTACTGTATAGTTTTGACACTAATTTTGCAAACGAGTGACAACTAGATTCAGAACAAATTCTTAGATTTTTTACTACCCGTATATGTATTCCTTTACCAGTATTTATTAATCCATAAGCCATGGCTAGTTTTTCACTATGTCTGCTGAGCAAATACTCTTTCTTCTGTTCATCAATATCAAATAAGACATTTGTTGTATCAGGAACATAACCCCGCCTGGCTTAGCCTGCAGTTTATTTCCAGTAGCATTAATCCGATTTGGTTGTGCTCGGTTTGTGATTTGTCACCCGAGGTGAATTTGTGAATCAATCCATGAACTTCTATTGAGCTTGATCCAGGTTTCTCCTTCATTTGCAACCTCACTCTTGCTACATCACTCCATGAGTTTTATCCATTGACCAAAAAAGTTGTCTTCCTTGGCCCATATTTCTACCATGACCACATGCTGTCAATAGTGCGATAAAACAAAATCATCTGGTATCACCTCTTGTTTGAGCATCTGATTAAAAAGCTAAATAGCACCTTTTGCATTTCCATCCACTTCCATTATTCTGATGGCTGCAGTCCATGCAATCGTGTTTTTCATATTTCCAAAAACATGGATAGCATTTAGAGGATCACCACATCTAGAAAACATGTCAACCAAAGCTGTGCCAAGTTGCATGTCAATGTGAATGTCATTTTTCTCAATGTAAGCATATATCCACTTAGCACGATCAAGAGTTCCTAAATATCCACACGCAGAAGCAATACCAACCATTGTCACATTATCTCCTTTAATCCCTTGGTTTTGCATCTCCCTGAATAAACTAATTGCCTCCTCAAACATCTCTGCTAGAACCATCACACCAGTCATAGTGTTCCTAGATACAAGATTACTCTCTCGCATCTCACCAAAGATTCTTAAAGCTAATTCTATGTCACCTAACCAAACCTGAAATTAGAGAATTCCATGTCACTACTGTCTTGTTTGACATACTGCCAAAAACTTTGCAAGCAGAATGATAGCATTGGAAATGTTATCCCAACTCTCTAGTCCATTCCAGAAGACATAAGCCTGAGAGGACTTCTGATAGAATAAGATAGAATATGATGGAGAAAATTATTTTATTAATAAATATGAAAAAAGAAAGTTCCAATGCTACTGCTCCTCAGTCAGAGAAAACAATTCTCTCACTGTCCAAACCCTAATATGAAAAACATCAAATAATAACATACTTATTTCCTGCCCCATACACTCCTATTTATATGTGAAATGCTAACTGAGCCAACTCCTATTTATTTGGTTTGGACTAAGGCCCAAGCCAATATCCTAACATTACCGGCAATCAGAAATACAATCTTGTCCTCAAGGTTGAAATGAGAAAATGTCCTTCAACATATAACAATGACATGCCAAACACTTCCCTTACAAGGTAATGGTGGGTTTAAAACAAGACTAAATCAGCACTTCAGCAAACCACAAAATTATACTTGGAGTTCATTTTCTTGAAACACAACACTAACATGACTGTAGCTTTCGTATCTTCCGGGATCCCATTGTTGAGAACTTGATTAGCCGGCTTCAAACAATCGAACTTGATGCACATTTTTATTTTCACTATCTCTAGATAACAGTTTACAGCTTTTCTCCTTAAAACCCATATAAACTTGAGTATAATCGATTGTAACTCCAACCAAGAAAATACAAGCTCACCAGAGACCGTGTCTTCTGCTATTTTTAGGAATATACCAAGCCATAACCATGTATCGTATCTTCAATTAAAATTATCTCTATGATAAGCCATTCAAAATATTTGTCAAATAGCAATGCACGAGTGTTGAGTGTAATCCTTGCTTCCCAATTTACCAAGGAGAGAAAAGGATAGAAAGGTAATCAAATTAAGAAAAAGAATTGAAGAACTAGGCCTAAGTGCTTTATTTTAGCCAAATCCATAAATGTTTTAAAAGACAAATCTGTATTAATTTGGGCTTGAACTATTAGGGTCAGAGAGATATCATTCTCTTCGGTTGTCCATTTTACCCTTAACTTTTCAAGAATAATCTTCAATTTAAAGATTACCATTTCCCCTTAGTATCTTTAGATCCTTCTTCTGTTCAACAACATCGATATAAACTAAAAAGGAATTGGAACTTATACACGGTGGTTCCGGCTGTCGTCGTCATATGTTCCGGTGACACTTCATATTCTTCACCACTCGTTTTATCGTATCCTTTCACGGAATCCTTAAGATCTGGTGGCTTAGGTGGTGGTCCTCGCAGTGGAAGCGCTGTTGAAGGTTGAACTGAATCAGACGATTTTTTTACAGGAGGTAAAGCGAATTCCGCCTATATTGCAGGTAGGGGTGGCAAAGCAGACAGTCCTTTCCGTTTTGGCCCGCCTCGTTTAAGCCCGTCCAAAAGCGGGGCGGGGCAGGCCAACTTAGGTGTCCGAGCTCAAAAGTCAAGCTCGTCCTGTTTACTAACGAGTTGATGAGTCGACCCGCCAATATTTTATTTTTTTTATTTTACAATTTAATTTACAAAAAAAAAATTATTTATTATCAAAGAGGCCGACAAAAGATTTCTTTACAACGCATAATAGAACTTCAACATGTCTTAAGTCTAAACAGTTCAAAAAAATAAAGACACATTACAACAACAAAAAAATGAAATAAACTCAAGCACATTAAAAAAAGTATCAAAATAAATAAACAAAACATATCATCCTAATCCTATTTAAAAACTAAATACTAAAAGAATCCAAATATGAATTTACACAAGACAAACATTGATAACAATTACACTGCATAAAACACCACAATGTATAAAATAGTAGTGCATACAATATCACCACCTGACTTTTCACTGTTTACATCATATAGATTCTTATATTGACCGATTTCTTAATAGTTAAATCTTAAATTTATCACATGTATATACTAATCAAATCCTTCATTTTCTTAAAATCAACATCTATTTCTAAAGAAAATATGTGAGCTAATATATTGATAACTTAATAATTTTGCATGCCATACAATTGTTCTTTTATTTCAAGTTTTTTCGATCAACACAGTTATTAGAAAGTTATAGAAAGAACGTTACAATTATAATTTAATTTGTCTGTATAATAATTTAGAATGATTTTATTCAACATAATTCTATGAGAATAGTGTAGTTTTTATAGTTAAAATTGTTTTAATTCTAAGTAAAAAAATAAAATGTGTTAACTAAAAGCCCGTATGAAAAATCCGCTCGCCCCGCTTTTTTAAGCGCGTTAGGCGGGACAGGCCAACTTAAGATACCGAGCTGAAAATCTCAGTCTAGTCCATCAAAAATGGTGGGTCAAACGAGCCGATCCCGCGGGCCCGCTCTATTTTGCCATCCCTAATTGCAGGGGATATTGTATATTTAACCCTAGAAAGAATGATGAAAAATAAAAGAGAAGTTAAGAGAGATATAAATGATGGAGAGGGTGTAGATGTAGAGAGTGTAAGAAAGGTTCTGAACTTATATTATGACCTCTCATATAAAAATGTGAGATTTAGGGATTGTGATTGAGTATTTTTGGGAGGGAGAATTATGTTATTTAGTGCATTTTTAGGTGTTTTAGATGTAAAATAAATTAAATAATTATAATAACTAAGATGAGAAACAAAAATATTAGAGAGATAGAGCGAAAGATATCTTGTCTTTTCCTCCCTAATGTTATATAAGCCAAAATCGAGAATCAGAGGACTTGGATTCTCTGTTCCTCTTTTTCTCTCAGTTCATCTCCTAATTTTTTATCTTTTTCTTAATTTCATTTTCTTAGAGATAAGACATGTGTAGTGTTTATAAAGTTTGGGTAACTCTTACCTTACAAGTCAATTTTGTAGGAATAAGTTATGCCAAACCCATATTCTAAGATGGTATTAAAGTCTGTCTTAGATCTACCGTTGAGCTTCTCGTACCACCCATGCTTTAGGATCATTAAGGTCTGAGCATGAAGGAGTGTGTTAGAAATTGGGCCTTCCACTACTATGTAAAATCCATTTCACAATGATTGGAAAAGAGATACCACCATGTTTGACCAACCGTTGTGAGGTAGAGGGTGGTTGTAAGTATGATTCTTTCCACCACGGTCGTACGACCGTGATTATAAACTAGGTAGCATGTTACCTATCATAATGATTACAGTAAATAACTGTTGTGATAATCTTAATGCATAACATTTAACAACGGTTGATCTAAACAGTCGTTGTGATATATACACTGAGTTTATCATAAATTATATGGAATGTTTATTTTTTCAATGCTCACTAAACATATAATCTTTCAATATGATCTAGAACATTATAACATAATCAATTAAATTATTATAATAACAAGTTACACCGTTCAATGCTAGATTAGAATTCTTCAGTCCTTATCTACATTTTGCTCTTTAACGGTTAGAACTTTATTTAATGCTCCCAGTTATTCAACCTCCCCTTCATTCACCTCTAGTTTATTTTGAAAAATATTATTTATTTTACAAACAAAATTAGAGGTGAAGAAAGGGGTGGTTGAAGAACTAGAGACACTAAACCAAGTTCTAATGACTAAAGAGCGAAATGCAGACAATGGGATGGAGAATTCTTGTCTAGCATTGAACTGTGTAACTTGTTTTCTGATATAACTTTATCATATTATAATTTTATAATGTAATCTTAAAAGTTATATACTGGGTAAGGGGTTGGAAAAATACTCAAACTACGTAAGATTTAATAAATCCGTCTTCTAAACAAACATTAACAACAACATTCATCAACAACAAACCTTAAACAATATAAAATATACAGCAAACAACTCTTATTAATAAAAACAAAATCATAACTAACATAGCATAAACTACATATAACGTATAACTTATATTACTAACAACGATAACATATCAACTCATAAAATGTTTTAGAAACGTATTTGTCCAAGAATGACATCCATAGTAAAAGAAGGATGAATCTGAAGTGAGAGCTGCAAACTTGTGTTAAATTTTAATGGATGTAATTATAGGTCTTTCACACAAGTTTGCAACGCTCACTTTAGCTTCATTCTTGTTAAATTATTTTATTCACCTTTCCTACCTACAAGTCAAAACTAGCAGAAAGTTCAAACATCATGAAACAAGCTATTGAAACATAAACAATGATACATAAATAACATAGTTCACTTCTTAGGTTATACATTCACACTACAACGAATAATACTTTTTATGACGAATCTTTCATCTCGAACATGCTAAAAACCGAGAGTATATGTCTTGTGAGTGTCATGTTTGATTTTTTTAATAAAATAAACAACAATTTACCTCGGTGTTATAAAAAACCGATGTAACACAATTATAAGTGAGCGTCATTTTTTATACATAAAAAATAATAAACTTAGTCTCTCATTTTTTTTTGGAGAACCGATGTAATATAGTTATAAGATATGCTTCGAATCCCCGTTACCACATTTAAAAAAAAATTCAACAATTTGTCACTTTGGATCTTTTTCAGATTTCATGTTTTTCTTTATTAATTAGTAATTCTCCCATGTTTTTCTTTGTTAATTAGTAATTCTCAAAATCTTTGTTATCAATAAACAAGAATAGACAATAATAAAAAAATGAAATATTTTATTAATAATAAAAAACAAGACAACAAAGAAAATTATTCCACATATTCAAACTTCTCAGTCCACTCAACTTCAACATTATTCCTAACTATCCTTTTGCATAGCTATAAATCAATGTTCATCGAGAAAGACATATTTGGATTTTTTAGGATCAATTTGAGAGACGAAAGCAAAATGATAATAAAATTTACTTATCTTAGACCATGTGGTAACTCCCTTTGAGATATCTCCTAGAATATTGTCGATGAAATGATCCCTAGAGGTTTTCCATTC